CACTAGATCCAATTCCTACTGGTCTCTTTAAGGACTCTCAGAATGTACTACTTACAGCTATTAATCATCTTATCAATTTATCCTTGGATCATGGTATTTTTCCTGACTCTTTCAAGACAGCTCTCATTCGACCGGCGCTGAAGAAGCCTAAGCTGGACCCTGAGGAATTTTCTAACTATCGACCAATTGCAAACCTCTCCTTTCTATCCARGACCTTGGAACGCATAGTGGTCGCACAACTCAATGATCATCTTGAGTATAACGATCTRTTACCAAAAATGCAATCTGCATACCGTGCAAACCATAGCACAGAGACCGCACTTCTGCGCGTTTTCAACGATGTTTTGCGATCGATTGATAGTCACCAAGAGGTCGTACTCGTCCTTCTGRATTTATCATCAGCATTTGACACACTGGATCATATCATCCTTCTCTCCAGGCTTCAGCATAGATTCGGCATCGTTGGTACTGTGCTTAAATGGTTTAAGTCGTATCTTACCGACCGGTCTCAAGCTGTCATGGTTAACAATGTCACCTCGGACAGTCGACCCCTCCTTTCTGGTGATCCACAAGGGTCCGTGCTCGGTCCTGTGCTTTTTACACTTTACTTTGCGCCATTAGARGATGTCATCAAAAAACACGGTTTGGATTGCATGCTGTATGCTGATGATAGCCAACTCTATGTCTCCTTAAACCCCAAGAACAGGGACCCTGGTTTGTCATCTCTAGAGTGTTGTCTCCAGGACATTTTGCGTTGGTTGTCCTCTAACAAGCTAGTATGTAACCATGGGAAAACTGACATTCTTCATTTCACGTCGCGTTTCCGTCAACATCTGCCATTATCTGTCAGCCTGAATGGTAATGAAATTTCTCCAAAAGCTGAAGCTCGTGATCTTGGTGTCGTTCTCGACAGTCATCTTCAGTTGACAACACATGTGAATAATGTTTGCAAATCAGCATCACTGGGAATGCGCAATATTGGACGAATACGTAACTACATTGGAAAAAGACCGAGACTGAACGTCTTATACACGCTTTTGTATCGTCAAAACTTGACCACTGTAATAGTATTCTTTATGGTCTTCCTGACTACCAAATCAAGAAACTACAGAGGATCCAAAATACTGCTGCAAGGATTGTCACAAGAACGAAAACTACTGAACACATCAGCCCAGTTCCACGAG